GTATTGTTTGAAAATATTGAATAATAGCAGGTTTTTACTCTTTAAGAAGTGGGTTTTATTTTCCCTCGTCTTTACTCTGTGTTTTTTTTTTTTTAAGGAATAATCAGGAAGGTTTGTTCCTGCCTTGCAATTAGACCAGCTGGTTTTGCTGCCCCGTAGAGCAGGCGAAAGATGTGGAGGGGGGGAGGAGTCTGACGACTAGCGTCCTTTTAGCAAAGCATGCTGGGAGTGGGAAGAGTCTGGGGCCTATATAACACTAGCTTTTCTATTTCTCAGTCACTGCTAGGATAGGCAACAGCAGAGAAAGATGTGCTGGAAGGACGAGGAGAGGAGAGACGGCACAGGAGTACCAGGAGCAGGTACTGTGCCTAGAACACTGGACATGTTATTATTCATCATCATTGCTTGTTTTGTAACCCCACAATTGTGTAGAACTAACTTCTATTGGCACTGGTGGATACCTGGACTGCCAGGTCTAGGCCGTTGAACAGATGGGGAACCGAGGCCCAGAGCGGCTAAGTCAGAGTCACACAGAAAGCCTGTAGCAGAGCAGAGATTCGTATTAATATTATTTATTTGTATTACTGTAGCCCCTAGGAAACCTAGTCACGAACCAGGACCCCGCTGTGCTGGGAGGGGTCTGCTCACTGAAAGAGCCTATGGCTGCTGTAGAGGGAAAGACTTCAGATGCGCCGAGTACTATGTACTCATAGGGAACTGGGGTTGAATATGATTTGATGAGTCAGTGCCTGTAATGAACGACTCATCTCTGTCTTCCTTTTGCCAGCACTTCTTTGGAGGGCAGGACCTCTTGGTTCACTGGTAACAACACCCTTCTTTTGGGGGATCACCTGGCCTCTCCGCCTCACTTTCTATGTAGCCCTAAGGCCCTGGTTCAGCGCGCACATATCTACCTTCACGCACATGCCTCCATCTAGCCCTGTTCAGTAAACCAGTGAAGCATATGCTTGACTTGGACATCAATGCACTGAACTTGAAGCATATGGTTTAAGGGCTTTGCTGAATGGGGCCCTAAATGCAGATGTCCTGGTGCCAGGGATCCTTCCAGCCTGGAGGGGTTAAAATAGGAAATATATATCCAAGGGGAACGAATCATTTCTCAGACCATGAGCACTTATAAGTTTTCTCTGTGTTTGATTCAAGATGAGTGATGATAGTGTCGTCTGCCTGGCTTGACAAATGAAAGTAACTGTGGTGACAAGCTAAAGTAGTTTCTCACAGGGTCCTATGATGACAAAAAGCAGTGACATGGGCAGTAGATGACTATGCAGAGCTTCTTCTCAGCGTTATTTATAAGGTTCATTATAACATGTTGGGATATTCCTTGTACATAATGTATGGGAGAAATGTGGGGGCCGGCCTGAGGCTCAGCTTCTTTCAGTTGTGATGAAGGACTGAATAGGTGCTAAGATTGAACATGAGAATAGATTGGGCAAAGTGAGCCGTACATTTGGCCATTCGCCATGCTCTTATGTGAATGTTATGGTACCCTATATGAATGGGCCAATGGGTTCCAACCAATACTAATAATATAATACTTTGAGATCTCTGCACTTTGATAGCACCTTTCATTCGATGCTCTGTGCAGACATTAACTAATTAGACATCACAGTACACTGTGTGATAGGTAAGAGAGATATTTTCCTTGCCCCTGAAATGCAGCAGCCTCTGGGGTGGAGTGGGGGAATTCAGTAGCAGGTAACAGTGCAGTGCAACACTAAGTGGAAATATAATACCCTATCCAACTGCAACTCCATGGGACAGTTTGTGAAGGCAGAATCACCAAGCCCTGCTCTTGACTGCAGCCATAATAAACATGTGGCAGAACTCAAAATGCAGGCAGGAAAGCGGTTTGATCCTTGGTGAATACATTGGAGACAGGAAAAACAACCAAACAAAAACCCAACATCATCATAAGGGTGGGCTGGTCCACGCTGTACTGCCACCAAGGTCGTACGTTTGTCCTGCCATGGATCTCGCAGCCTCTCCTTTCACAATGCTGCCTCAATAACTCCCTAGAATGAGGTACTGCAGCCAACTCCATTGCTTCAGCCTCCGTTCTTCCTTTTGGGTGTATACAACCATCCCTCGCACCAGGGAACTCTGCTGCATAGTCCAATATGTGCAGGCATGTGTGAAAGTGGGAGCAACTTGATCTAATTCGCACTGAAAAATTGCATGAGAACTTCCTCTCCTCATAAATTTTATGCAGATGCTGAATTTCATTAGGCAAAAGTCCCAAGCAAACACAGGGATCTTGACATGTTCCGTCTATTCTGTCCTGTTGTGTTTTTTTCCCAGAGAGCTGTTAGCTATAAAAGCTGCACAAACGTTCAGGCTGGTTTGAAGGATAGACTACAAAGATTTCTCTGTTCTGAAATGCACAATCTGTGATTTTTTTTTTGCAATATATGAATGAAGAGAAGAAGGAGGGCCTGAGGTTTTTTAAAATCATAGTTCATTTGCTTCTTTCTTTTCTTTATAGTGTGAGAACTGAAAAAAGACATGGTTCCATTTCAGAAATCGCAAAGGCTATAATGAGTGTGCAATGTATTGTGGTGATCCATTTTGTCAATTTTAAGGGGAAAAGGATCTTGAAAAAAAGCCATGATTTCTTAATGGTATTGCACTGAGAACTCTGGAGGAATTTAATATGCCCATAAAAACCCCTTTTAATGAAGAACTCCACAAGGAACACTTTGAATACATTTTGGCTTTGAAAGCAGGATCCTTTTTTCCGAAGGTAACATACGTTCCCAATAAACTGTTCCACAACCTGAAATCATCCTCATGGCAGAGGCAATGATACCTACTTACCCCAACTCCCAGGGGCGTGGTAAGAGCTTGTTAATATTTGGAGAGCACTGTGAATGTGGAAAGTTCTCACTAGTAGTAATATCAGAGTATATAATAGCGCCTACCCCCTGGCCGTGCTGGAGTTTAATGTTATTCTTACTGTTGATCCTCGGCTAAACACTGAAAATGTGCCTGGGTTTGAATAAGACAAAGGAAAAGATATGGTTCCTGGCCTGCGGAGCTTCAATTCTAAACAAGGGATAATAGCTACTATGAATGGAACAAGCAATGCTGCCAGGTGGCTTGGTTGCAATGTTCCTTTGGAGTCCTTGACCATCCCGGGCAGCCTGTGCAAATCCCATGCATTTCAAATCAGATACTTCCACCAAAGGCAAAGTGTCCAACGAGGTCACCCTCTGAACTGAACTCCCTCACACAACCCTGTTATCTGGACTGGGAACCAAGCTGTGCTCAGAAACGAGCCGGGCCAGCTGCCAAAGTCATTAAAAAGCAGACTGCTAGAAAGTGACGGCATATGATTGCTGTCCAGCTGGTGTCAAAAGTAGGTGCAGCGCCATGATGGGGGTGAGCTGGCAAGGAATGTTTCAGTATTGCACCATAAACCCCACACTGAGCATCCACCGGCCTTGGCCTGGAGGGGGCTACTAGCACCTGCCTTTCACCAGGGAAACGTGCTTGTGCATCTACGTTCTTTGCTCTAACACATGAGTTTTGCTGGCCTTTCCCTTTCACACCTTCATGTACTACCCACAAGGCTGTGTGCAGAATGGCGAAGGGGGGAGTGTATTCCTACACCCGCTGCTGGATGCTCCCCGTATGGTTATTTGTTCAATCTGACTCTAATAATATTCTTACTTGATAAGTATAAAATCAGCCAGGCATTCGTTCTCCTCTAGAGAGCAAGACAGAAAGACACGATTCTTCTCCAATCAGTGATGGTGACAAACTGACGTTCCCACAAATACCTCGGGGTGCATCATGAATGGTGCTGCTCTCACCGAGCGAGGAACAGGAGTTTGCCAAACAGCGGAATTGCCATCAAGACACAAGCCATGCTAGTCAGCGCATTCACAAAGCTTGTAGCACATAAAGCACAGGTTAAAATAAGCCCCAGGGTCCACTAAACCGCACAGTTAGAGATGAGCCCATGACACTTCAGCCCTTACAGATGAGCTTCTTTAGAGCCACTTTGGAAGGTCAATGGTAAGTATCTCATTTAGATCATTTTTATAAGTGGAAAACCTACACAATGGATTGGTTTTGCTTCCAATAATGGCAGGGCCATTAACCAGGTGTGTTAAAATTGTGTGGCAGTAATCAGAGGTAATCTATGCCACTGCACAATTCTTCCATTATTTGCTTTAGAAAAATGCACCAGAACTCAGGAAAAGTTACCATGGGCCCGGACACAGGCATGAAGAAACATGAAAATATCAGGTGCTCTCTGTCGGCAGGGCGGCGGTGCTAAGGACTGCACAAAGCCGGAGAGGAAGTGGAAAAGTTTACCTACTTTTGTGTATATTGTAAACATCTTTGTGTAACTGCTTACATGAACCCTAATATGAAAGTTTTGCAGTCATCTGTGAGAAAGAAAATGCTTCTTGCTATAAAGGTTTAATTTTAAACTAAAAATGCAGCAGAAAAGGGGTGTGAGGAATTCTAAAGGCTGAAACGCTGAAAATTGCCTAAGTGCAAAATTTCTGGTCATGCCAAAAAGTATTTAGCAAATGAGTTATAACACCCACCTCATTCAACCTTACAAGAGCCAGTCAACGTGCCAGCAGATTGAAAAAGTGTCTTAGACATTGGCAGTGAAAGACATTTTCTGAAGAGCTTCACAGTTTTTCTACAAACACCTAGTAAAATAAACCCTGGAAGTTTTGCTCTTTCCTGGGAAGCTAGAATTTTGAGTGGGATTATTAGAATGCACAGATCCAATGACAAAGCAAAAATCTATTTGAAGTAAAAATTGCCAAGAACTTTGTTTATTAAGACTTAAGTGCAGATGACTCTAGGGAGTGTGTATACACTGAGAAATGTCTCCTAAACCTCCCCGCGGCAGTGGGCTGCACTTACATAGTGGTGGACTTTTCAATACATGCATTTTGTTTTCAGCTGCCTGTTCTCACTGCAAGGAAAGGAAAGAAGAGAAGAGGCTTAAGTCAAAGAAGCAAATATTTTATTTTGTATAAAGCAAGCAGAGGTCAGAACCACAGCTTCCCATGATAGTGTACATCGAATCTCTGTCTCTCGTATCATTGTCTTTTGGTCAGAAAGCATAGCATTCTCCAGACAAGAAGGAACCAATGAAAGCCACCTACGTATCTATGTTCTAATAACCACGAAATTATGAATGCTTTAAATAAGGCCTCAACTTCTGGAAACTACAAAATGAAAAAGATGTATGAGGAGGCATGTTCAGTGACATGGTTCATACCGTGGCACTCAGGACAGAACAATTCTCAAGCTACCAGCTGAAATGTAACTGCAGCTACTGATGCCACATTCTGCTCGGAGAGGCTGACTCCCGCCTGGGGCTGGCAATCCTGAGAGCCACTCACTGGTTATTCTATAGAGTTTCCTAATGCGAACAAACATCTGTCCTTTCTGTGCTAGCTCACAGCACCGAGGGCTTGTTCAGTTCAGTGACATTGCTCCTTTTGGGCACTCCTACTCTCATTTCCGAGCAAAGGGCATGCTTTTTCAGCTGGTTGATGTCACTGGGCTTTATAGTTTATAGACGCCACTTACTTTATTAAAATGAGGTCTGGGGGAAAGTGGGACATCTTATTATGCAAATGCAGCTTCCCATAAAGAAATATTTTATTAAGGCGTCCTCTGCTCCTGTGTTGGTTTAGCAGATTTGGTCACAGCTTGACATCCAATAAGTTTGTCTAAAGGCTGCATTTTTACAAAACATTTTTCTAATCTATTTTAAACACAGTTCCGGTTATGATGCATTCATTAGGGAGTTTGCTTTCAAACCTGGATTGTAGTAATAAATCTTAATTCTGGAAGCATCAAAGGCAGTAAGAGAATTGTATCCAACTGGTTGTCAGAATCAAACGCTGAATACAGGATGTGAGAGTGACTAGAAGCAAAACCTACCTTCTCTGGAGGGGAGAGTTTCGGGGCCCAGGCTCATCAATGTTTTAGATTAATAAACCGGTAGAGATGCAGTTTCAAAATGTTCCAGAGCCCCTCGATGTAATTCAATGCGAGAAGAGCTAGGTGAGGCGATTCCAGTAAATAGGTAAGGGCGAGGGGCTAGGTGAGGCTCAAAGCAGTCTGTTCGGAAGAGACTCCCTTGCTCTCCCATCACTGACAGCAGTGCAAAGTGGGTGTAAAACGCAGCTAGCTCCAAATGGTGCTTCATGCCCACCGTGCGCTGGTGTCAATGGGGAATTGGGCTCCCTGCATCTAATGCTGTCAGAGCCGTCACTTCCTGGGCGGGACACTTCCTCCTCTGGCCGGATTCTTAAACTGCTCACTTGGGACCAGATCCTGCCTGGTCTGTGTGCTGTCCAAGGGTCAGGAAAGGGCAAGGAGCCTCCCTTTATCCCTTGTACAGCCTGCGTCAGGGCCAAGCGCAATGGCACTCCGTGTGCGCAGGGCAGCTGCACACCCTGCTCTCTCCACGCCCTGCAAATGGTCCCTCCCTTCTGCACACTGGCCCCTGGAGCAGCAGCAGCACATGGGGGAGGGGAGGCGTATGCTGTCTTGGGGCTACTTCTGCTCTGGCCAGAATGTAGCCCTAATTTGGTATGGAGGGACTGCCAAGGGATGATTATTCATTATGTTAATACTATTTATCAATAAAGCCAAGTAAAAGGGTAGATTCTGGTCAGAGTTTGGCTTCTTAGCCAGGATTAGGCTATTCCAGACCAGAAGCCTCTGGAGAGAAGAATTTGCAGTGGAAATGCTGGCAGAGCCTCTAGCTCAGCGGCACAAAGAGCAAACCTATAACAGCCGGCCTAAGTGAACCGTACAGACGGGTCGTGGTTAGTATATCGGCAAGTTTACCTTAATCTTTTCCTAGATATTTCATCATAATGCTATTTACATCATCTTCTTTTCCTTCTGCCTCCCATCGGCTTTCATCTTTAGCACCTTCAATGATCAGTTTTCCGGCACATCCTTCACCTTCTGGCCTTTGAATCTTTGGTCGGCTCTTGACGCTGTCAGCACTTTTAAAAGAAACGATCGAGCCAGAGGATGAAGATGAGTCAGAGAGGTTTCCAGTGTCCTCTTTGGCCTTTGAAATGGTCTTTATTTCAGACAAAAAAGTGCTGTCTGCCGAATCCTGGTCTTCAAAATGAACGCTCATTGGCCTCTGGCCTTCTCTCCTGTCCTTGACAGGTCTGGACAAACTGCTTGTTGACTGGGATTTTCGAATTGCTGGAAGGAAGTCATCAAAATCAACATTTGTTCTCCTTTCATAGTTGAGAGTTGGTATTTTCCAAGTGAACGGGTCGCTTTCCTTTCCTGCAGCCATAACATCACTGAATTGCTTACTCTGAAATACCAGAGAATCTTTCCCCAGATCAGCACTGGCTGTGTCATCTAATGATGGCTCAAGGTAACTTCTCCATGGCTTAAGTCTCGATGGATTGAACGCATCTGCTCCCACAGCTGGTGAACTCAGCGTCAAGCAGGAATTATCAATATTTTGTAAGAGTGAGTCACAGGAGCCAAACTTCGATATTCTTCTGAGAGCTGGGGAGCGCGCTGGCTCTGTGTTCTCAGATGATATGCATTTTAAACTGGATGAACGCACTAGGCTAGCTCCTGCAGGCACTCCTTCACTTTCTGTACGTTCATGGACTCCAAACTTTATTGGGAACTCATCATCCTCTTTGAAAGTCCTGCATCTTCTCAGGGAGGAGGCACCAGTTGTTTGGTAGATTGGCAGGGGAGAGGTGTCCTCTAACCCTAAAGTTCCCTGCACTTTCTCTGTTGCCCTTTTCCTCCTCAGCTCTTCTACATATTCAGAAAGTGCAGATGAAGAGCTTGGAAACGTCTCTTCTGCTGTAGGAGATGACCTCCTTCTCATCACAGATGGAGATATAGCTCCTAATTTATCCATAGCTTTTTTCTGACTGTCAATCTCCTTATCCGCAATTCTTCCAAATTCCCGTCTTTGAGTGCCAACTAAATGGCTCACATCCTTGCCAAAATCTGCCTCACCCATAGGTCTTCCGTATTCCCCTCTCCGAGCACTCAGTGCAGAAGCTGGTCGGTTCATTTCTTGATCTTTGATTTCTTTGTTCATCCTAAGCAACAACGGAAAGAGATACATTTTAGTTTGTTACCTGACTTGATGTAGCCGCAACGTCAGTCAGAAAGGCCATGTCCTGGTATCCAGAAATCTGTTCTTACCTTCTAGTCTCACTTGAACCATTGCCTCTAAGTAGGAATTGCTTATTGCAGGTAAATGAACTCTAGCTGTTTCATTAAATGACACTTTTGAGCATAACTGAACTCAACATAAATGTCTCTGAGTAAACTAGAGAAGCTAAAATGCATGACTCAAGGTAGATCACATCACAGACACTGTACTTCATCAATCTGACATACCAAGACATGCCTCAAAATGGGTTGCTTTCTCAATAGATTTTATCAATACATGTGATTTATTTGATTTCTGTCACTACCCAAAGATGATACACTGAATCTTCATGAAGCTGAATTATAGCGCACTATCCCAACGCTACTCCCTGGTATGTTTCTCCAGTGCTCCCTTTGGTAGGAGGAACTAATTATAATCTATAAGAGCAAAATAAATGTCTGGCTGTGGGCTGGATATGAACAGCACACACCACGGGACAAACTCCTTCCATTCGGGGGTATTTCAGGATTTGCCTTTCTGAAAACAGCTTTTTAGAATGGAACACAGGCCAAAATCAAAACCTGCTCCCAGGAAATAGGGACCTAGCTGTGATGTCAAATTAGCCTCCAATGAAAGAGCAAAGCAAGTGGAGCTAGTTAACCTTTGCTTTATCGAACGTCATCTATTGAGGGACGGGGGTAGAGGGGGTATGGGAATTCCTTCTGCAAACAACCACAAATGCTGATTTTTAATTAAAGGAGTGATGCAGGCTCTGCTAATTAATCCCTGTCAACCGATAGCGATCGTTGTCGTAGCTATTATTAATGGGAGGGTGCTCTTAAAGCTTGAAGCTTTCACTAGAAAAGGAATTCAGTGTGTCTTTAGAATTCCCTCCCATTCTCTTAACAAGGACACGTTCTCTTTTGGTAAACAGTCTCAGCAAGTATTTGAATGGAACATTACTGTTGTTGACTCTGGAGAGTTTTTTTAAGGGCAGACATATTGAGCAGGAGGAAATGCAATAACAAGGTGCCATGGCTCATGGAGAAAGGCTATCGGCAAAGTCAGTGGAGATTCTCCGTGCCTGCACTAGGGATGGCAGATGCCAGCTCCTCTGAAAGGAGCGGCTCAAAAAACCCAAGGCTTGACACTGACAGCCTGGCTAGCTGTCAACCAGCATTTCTGGTTAGGATCCTACGGAAGGTGAGGACGAGAGAACTCCCTGGCAGCCCGGTCGCCACTATATGTCTCTTTGACTCTGGGCCATTTGGGTACAGCCCTGAGTCCAGCGATCTCCTCTCAGTGATGAAAGAGGATCGAGTGCCCATGCGGATATTGTTGTCTGCTCTTTCCTGGCTGAGTGTGGTGAGGAGGCGGTACGAGGAAGGAGCTTTTACTATAATGTGGTGCTCTGCAGAGACCCATCTTGCCTCCCTGCCGGTTCGATGGGTGTCTGGGGCTGTTGGGAGGGTGGGTGAGGAGGCTGATGAGGTGTGCAGATGCGTGAACTGCTGGCGGCTCAACCCAGATAAGAATGAGATGAGGCTGGTAGGCTGGGGGAAGTGACTGGATGATGAAGAACCTATTCTTGCCCTAGCTTTACCGGAGGGTTTGTGCCCACCCCTTGTGACTCGTGTTCCCAATCTGGGAGTCAGGCAGGATCCGCAGGTGCTCTTGGACCATGTTACAACACCACAGACCAGGAAAGCTTTATCCCATTTGTGCCTGGTGAGGTTATGAACCTTCCTTTTGGCTGTGGGATCTCACGGACGTGTAGGCTGTGAGGGTATGGCCCAGCCACCATTTCAAATTAGTTGTAAAAAAGTCCTTTTTGAGCTGGTGGGCCTTTGCCTTAGCAGAGCAGGCTGTAGCATAACTCCAGAAATGCCCAGGATGCAAAACAACTACAGAAAGGCAATCAGTTTAAGAAGCAAGACCACCCCCCACCACCACACACACTCCTTCCTCTCTTGTCTGCTGCAGAAAGACTGCAAAAATTGATTGCAATCATTGTTACCCTTTGTGCCACAAAGCTCTGGGTGAATTCTTCAAAAAAGATTGCACACATTCATCTGAAGGCCTGAAAACACATTTCCCCCCCTATTTAATTTTAACAATATCTGAAAGGGGGAGTTCGCTGTGTTTCTTGTATGCAGCGTGACTGACAGTTTGAGGCGTTGTTGTATGTTTCTTCATGGTATATAATTTTGGATCAATAATATCAAGTAACAATCTATAGGGTGCTCTCCCTCAGATTCCTGCCTGCGAAATTAGAAATGGAGTTTGTCAAAATGTATTTGCCTGTAAAGAATTTTTTCCAGTGTTTTGAAGCTGGAGACATTGCTGTAAAGGAAGCCTAGAATTTTCTAACACAAAAGTATATTTTGTACTGCATCACTGCAGTCAGACATCATCAGTTAGGAACTATAATTTTCTATAATGAAAAAGCGTCTTGGTTTTGAATTTGTCTAACAACAAAAAGAAGAAAATGCGTGGATAATCGATTAAACCAGAGGAACCTAAATATAAATAAATACCCGTGTGTGATGGAAGGGCTGAGGTTTTCAAAACCACTAGTGGGAGTTTTACCTTGACAATAATAAACCATCCTGACTAGGGGAGCATTCTAGTTGCTATGGTAACATTATGGTAGTGAATGATCGCAGAGACAATGCCGGGCAACTGGAGACCTGGCAATTTAAATGTTGAGACGAGTTGATAACAAACTGGCATCCAAAAGCAATTGAAGAAGTGCCAGGATAAGGGAGCATTTGAGCTGCTTTCCTTATTGCATGACATCAATAAACAAAATCCCGGGGTGGGGGAGGGCTGAGCCTCTGTACAACAACTGCTGCTCTGTGAAGTTGTGGGCCTGTGATTTCCCAAAGCCAGCAACGTGAGACAAGGTGCACCGAGGTTCTGCAGCAGGAGGAGGCCTGAGCAAACTGCGGAGTGAAGGGAGAGGCTCCTAAAATGGGAGCACCTGTCCAACTGCACTGGCCTCCCCACCCCTCCGACCGGTTCGTGAGCATCTCGTGGTCTCACTCCACCAGCCCTTTGGGTCAACAGACAGTCTCCTATTGACGTCGGCGAGCCATGGATTAGGCCCCAAGAACTCTTCCTGACCCCTGGGGCTAGCAGGTGATGGAGAGGGGTAGCCATGAGTCAGATAGAAACACAGCTCTGCCTTCACCCAGAATGGTCCCAAGCTGCTGGACTTTCCCCGCAGTAAACGAATTGAGCCATAATCACTTCCATTTTACTAGCATACAATACAATTCTGGGGAATGCGACGACGAAACTAGTATGCTGAGCACACTATTGCTGTAGCCCTGGCTTTCGAGCAATTTTCACTTACAGCTGATTCATGGCAGGTCCCAAACCATTCACATCGTCTCTTGGAATCCGAAATTGTATCCTACAGAACAGCTGGTGTAATCCTTCCAAGAGGATTTACATGGGAATTGCCCTTGTCCATGTCTATGATTCCAAGCAAAGTTGTAAATTGCAGAGCCACTGGATTTCATCATTTAAACAGCCAGCTTTTCATTCAGCAACTTCACTTTTCCTTCTGGCTTTCCAGGCTTAGATAAAACTGCACTAAAGAGGCAAGAAACGCTAACCGCCTGTGAACATAAAAGGGTTAGAATCGGATATTCACTGCTCCGTTCAATGTAGCAGACACATTATCTTATGAAAGTGTTTGGAGCCTGAAACTTAATGAACCGCTCACTTGGTTATTGTTTTCGCTATCTGTGATATTATAAAATTCAATCAAGAGGAACCATTCTGCTTTTAGACCTTGTCCAAAGAGCAACTGTCAGACATCTTCTTATTTGGTTCATGTGCAACATTAGCTGCTGCTTTCCTTTTTTTTATTTTTTTTAAGGAGAAGAAATGAAATCATACCTAAGGCCCTACTTAACTTGCAATATTGTGGAAATTGTGGATTCTGCAATATTAGGCTTTCACCGCAGTTTTGTCAGCAGTAACCCCATCGTGTGTGGGGCTGAAAGTGGGAACCCCGGCCACCCTAGAGCTGAGAGCCGTTCGCCCCTGCTCTCATGCCTGGGCGGCCAACAGTGGAAAATCATGAAAAAGTAATAACGGACTTTATTGCTGCAAATAAAAAGGTCCATTATTACTTGCCTGCAATTTTCCATGGCTTGTCTGCCACTCACCCGCAATTTTTTGACAATCATCCTGCAATTCAAGTAGGGCCTTAATCATACCCCAAAAGCAGAGAATTCAGCTGTTAATGTCTCCCAATTAGGGTCACAGGGTTTAAGGCTAGAAGGAACTGCCAGATCATCTAGTCTAGCCTCCTGCATCTCACAGGCAGGGCCGGCTCCAGGCACCAGCTTACCAAGCAGGTGCTTGGGGCGGCCACTTCGGAGAGGGGCGGCACGTCCAGCTGTTCGGTGGCAATTCGGTGGACGGTCCCTCACTCCTGCTCGGAGCGAAGCACCTCCCGCCGAATTGCCGCCGCAGATCGCGATCGCGGCTTTTTTTGTTTTGTTTTGGTTTTTTTTGTTTGGCTGCTTGGGGCGGCCAAAACCCTGGAGCCGGCCCTGCTCACAGGCCACCACCACCACCCAGCATTCACGTACTAAACCCAGGAACCAAAATTAGACCGAAGTATTACAGACCAGATTAGATTTTTATGTGCCACAGGCAGAAAATAGGAGGGACCAAGATGCACTAGTGTCTGAGGCCCCTCTAATGGCAGGGAAATGATTAAGTGAGATAGACCCAGAGAATCCTGGCAAGTGACTTGCACCCACATGCTGTAGAGGAAAGCAATATATATCTCCAAAATAACCCCCAAGGTCACTGCCAGTTGACCTGGGACAAAATTTCTTTGTGACCCCACATGTGGCAAGCCAGCCAGCCAACCACCTAAGAGAGAGAATGCTCCGTGCCACCTCAGAGCCCTGGTCTGCC